TCGGTTAATCACGGCTTCTGTTCCACTCAGTATCTAATCACTGCAAACTAACCGCGCCCCTGTTATCAAACTGATCAAACCTTTGCAAAGACATGTTTGTATTTCTTTCAGTTCTCCAACATGAAACTGATCATCAGATCTGCCTTCAGATCGCTGTTACTGACACCAACAAGGTGATTATGGCTGACAAAATGAATAAAAGTAGAAAAGAACGAAGCACAGAGGACCTGCAGGAGGCTTTGAGCTGCACTGGTGTCATCAGAGTGTAATTATTAACTCGAGCCACTAGAGGGCACCAGCGTCCTTTATAAACACCTCTTTTATTCTCTCTTTCAGTCACATTCAGCAAACCTGATGAAACACGTGTGACTGAAACAGTTTCAGGGCTCAGTTTTAATCGGACCCAACGTCTGGACGTTTAATCCAAACAACCTCCTGGACATGACTGCTGCATGTGTCACATAAAGGCCTCATCACAGTTCCACACAAACCACAAATAAACTTCCTCAGCTCAGACCGAGCGTTGCTTTCTGCTCCATCACGTTAAGATTAGCATCATTTTGCTAATGCATGACTGTGCAACAGCAACACCGGCTGGTTTAACTACATTTGTGTTTGTATTTGAGTTAACTGCAGCCTCCCACCACTGGGTGGGGGTGCAGCGTGATGTGGAGGATGTGCAGCGTCACACTTTCCTGCTCGTCTGTTCATCGTTATTCATCAGTTTTCTGCATCAGTTTAAAACAGCGAACTCAGGGAGCGTTCCCGGAACGTCATCACTTATCTGTGCTTTGACAATGTGCACGAGATCGTCTGATAGCAAACACACCATCACCTCTCCTCTATGGGACGCATTTCACATATTTGTGCTCGGAGCTCGTGATTGGTTCTTCCTGCAGGCTCGAGCTATGAGAAAGTCGTCTAAATGTGAACGTCAGTCTCCATCTGGATGCCCACAGTTTGAGCTGCAGTGATTTCACTGTGCAAACAGATGATTACATAAAGAGGAAGTGCACGTTTGCACGCAGTGACCCTCCACCTTCATCTGACTCTGAATGACTTTGCCCTCTGCTGTTGTAATCCAGCGGGGACGTGACGCATTCCCCACAGCAGAAACCTGCAGAAGCTCTCCCTCAGCGGTGAGCTGGACTCGCTCCAGCAGCTTTTTCCCTCTGGCTTCCAAAATAAAAGCACTGAGCAGCTTTGATAATGCGGACACAGTGGCACAGTTATCAGCGTGTCATCAGGTCAGGCCAGGAGGACGTCTGGGCTGGATCTGTGTTATGATCAGGAGACTGTCACAGCTTTCTCCAGTCACATCATTCAAACTGTTCCACAACTCACTGTTTATATTAAACTCATCATCATAAACAGTCACAGAGACGCCAGTTAGCTGCCCATCAGAGGCCACACCCCTAATAATGCGAGCCTTTATCCAGGTGGGTTATTGAAACGTTCTCTGCCAAAACAAAAGTTTGTGTCAGGCTGTAAAGTTTTTACATGGGAGTCTATGGTGACGGGCTCGCTGCTGCCTCTGCTGGACACTACAGGAACTGCGGTTTCCAGCACTGACTGACATTATTCCTCATCTTGAAAGCTCCAGTTTTTATACGTAAGTTCAAAGATTTTCTGCTTTTGTTACAAATGACAGCAAATTGAGCCTCAGACAAAACGAGACATCTGATGCAATCAGTGTGTTCACACGTGTAAGGAAATCAGTGAGCTGATGTTTTCATCGGTGAGGAAGAGGAGCTCAGACAGCAGCGCTGCACCTCGGGTTGCATAATGAAGAACATTTGCTGAGTGTTTTCTGGGTCGGAGAACCCTTTGTGGGGCTGCCAGTGTCGCAATGCAGGGAGGAGGAGGAGGCTTTAATTAACAGGAGATCCCTCACGCACACACACACACACGCACACGCACAAACACAAACGCACACACCTAAAGCCTCGGCAGCTCATCCTAGAACCACAGTGCGCTTACACAGCCTGCTGTGAGCTGATCGATATCAGTGGCCATTTAAAGGAAGACGAGGCTCTGCCGCGCTCACGGAGACGCCTCCTACAAGCCCCGAAGGACACAACTCTGCGTCTGTCTGATAAACTCTGATCAACCCACCGCTCAGCTCACAGAAACTTTGTCACGCTGCAGTTTTCCTCCACTCATCACCTCAGGGCAAAATGAAGACGAACCAAAAACAGACGAAACAGGAACTGGAACTGTGCAGAAATCCGCTCCGCGTTTTACAGGAGGCAGCAGAAGCTGCTTTAAGGCCCCAAAATGCCTCTTTTGGGCAATTAGTAAAGAACATTTCCTACAAAAGTGTAAGACAGAAGCAGGAATAACATGCAACATATTAATAACTGAGGCGGTTTCCTGCGATGCACCAGCCAGGGAGCGTTATCACACTGACCACCGAAGCCACGGAGGCTGAACAAATAATAAAATTAAGTAAATAGACCTGCAGATGAATCACTGAGCTGCAGTCCAAACAAATCTAACCATAACTATCCCAAAGGTGTCCTACTCTACTCATTTCCACCTCATGCACTTTCCTACAGGAGCTTTGCATGATTAACAGTTACAATTATCCTTAATTTACACTGTGGTTCTCAAGCTGTTTTAGCTCCTCCCACTTTAAATGAACTTTGAAGTGATTGGCTGCCCCTCACAGACAGCAGGTGGGGGCCTCCCTCAGTGACATCATACAGATCCAAGGCGATGTTTAGAGCAGCTTTGGGCTCACAGGGATAGTGAACGTACACTCGGCTCATTAAAAAAACTCTGGTCATGTTAATGTGAACATCCACAGTTTATAGGTGGAAAGTACAACGTCCTCCTGACTCATTACAGTTCAGGTTATTCAGCACACAGGTTATCAGTAAATGATACTGAAATCTGACACGGTCCTGTGTGACAGTAAAACCTGTAGTAAAACTCAGGAACAGGGTGTGGTCGGTTCTCTGTGTGCATGTGAGCGGATGCTGGGGTCTGAGGTGGTGCTGGGTTTCAGTCCAACATCTCAGGTTGTGTCCAGAGGGAGGAAGATAAAACCAGGGAGTAAGATGATCGAATTTAAAACAAAAATGCTCAGCAGGCAACCAGAAACGCCTGGTGGACAAGTGTTTGTATATTCTACTCTGTAAGCTTTGTTTAAAAAGTTTAGGTTTAAAAAGGACAAATCAAAATTTAACAAAAACGAATCAAAACCAGCTTTACTTACCGTGTAAACATAAAAAAAATAAAGTGATCAAAAGCACAGAAATGGTGTTACTCGAATGAGACAAATGCACAAAATCCAACAAAAGGTCGAACGATGAGGAACACACAACTACAAAATGCAAATGTTAAGATTCAAAGAAATGCAAAAAGACGATGCAACCAAAGGAAACGCTGACTGGTTGGTTGGATGGAAGAAAGTAAGAATGGAGATGGAAGTTATGTGGATGAACATGGAAGTGCCATTAAAAGTGTAGTGGGGGATGGTATCCATGCTGGAACTGGGTTATTTTACCTGCTCTTATGTTCAGGTTTGGCATCTTAAACGGTTTGCCGCCCTCCGCGCTCTTCTTCGCCGCTGGCGCCTCTGGTTTGCAAACGGGGGAATGGGTGGTAGGAGCTTGGGGGTGTGGGGGCTGCTGGATGTCGAGCTTCTCCAGCTCAGCCTTGCTTTTCTGGGGGGAGGCCTGTGTGAGGAGGCGGTAGGAGCTCTGACTTGGAGCTTCTTCTTCAACCTCCGGGGGTGGGGCTACTTTTGCGATTGGATCCTTTTGTCCAAAGCTGAGATCATCATCCATGGGGATCTCCGGGGGCTTGGAGGCTGCAAACTTGGAAGTATCCAGAGCTTCGAGAAACTCGTCAATAACACCCCTAGGTGGTCTTTCGATGAATTCAAACTCCTCAGAGGAGACTTCATGCTCGGAGACCTCCTCGGCCATCTCCGGCTCCTCCAGCTCCATCTTCAGGTCCTTCTTGTCAGTTTCCACCTGGAAGCTGGCAGGGTTCTTCGCCATTGCTTCCAAGACCGGCGAAAGGGAGTCTGCTGTTGGAGACTCTGAATCCGAATCCTCAGCAAGGGTCTTCTTATTCTGGAAGTCGAGTGGCTCAAACTTCTCGGTCATTTTGGGAGAATCGTGGCTTGAGAACCAATCTTTCTGTTGAATCTTGACAGGTTCCTCTTCTTTTGCTTTAGTTGGGGTAGTTTCCTCGGCCTCTTTGACGAGATCAAATGCGCCAAAGGTTTTGTCATCTTCTGCTTTTTCTGTAGCTCTCCCCTCCATCTCCTCGGTCATCTCTTTCAGCAGGGAAACTTTAGCCTCAAAAGCAAAGGGGTTATTGGCAGACAGATTGATCGGAGGATTGGGTGACTCCATCATCCTTCGTTCGAGGATGGGGCTCTGCTCCTCCGGACTTCCCTCAGAGGAGCCGGAGTCTAGTTTGTCGGGGTTGAGCGGGGAAGACTTCAGGATGTCTGGAAGCGATGGCGGCAGAGCAGAATCCTCCTCTTCCTCTTCATCATCGTCATCTCTGAGACCAGATGAGAACTGATTCATCGACTGCATGAGTGAGTCGGCAGTCATCTTGCCGGTCTCAAATGTTTTTCCCTCATCCAAGAAAGATGGTAGATTTTCCTGGGATTCTCCAATCTGCCCATACTGGACCAGATCGGGAGTGGGACTATCGGACATTTTAGATGCTCTGCTGTCTGACTTGGAGTCTCCAAAATGTGAGTAGCCGCTGTCCGCAAGTGGGGAAAAGCCATCAAATGGGTTATTGTTCTTCTTCACCTCGTACATCAAGTCATCTTCTTCGTCAGACTGGCTGCCGTGCAGGTCTGGCTCAAAACTTGGGGGTTTAATGGAGGCCGTGTCCTTGGGGAAGGAATCCATTGAGGGCTTGGTGTTGTCTTGAGAAGATAGGTATGGTGAATCCCAGTGCTCTGTTGGGTTAGAGGAGGCAACGTGAGACTCGGGGACCATCATCTGGGGATTCACGGGGGAGGGGCCAGTGGAAGACCTGTCTGAGCTAATCAGCTTCTCCTCAGGCGAAAAGGAAATGCCACTGTCTTCGCACGGATTATGAGGCCCTGGGTCTTTCCCTAAACTCAGGTAAGGACCAGCTAATGGATCTAGAGGGTCTTCCTTATTCTTACTACTGCCTGGTCCAGAGTTACCCCCCCAAGGCATGTCCTTGGAAAGAGTAGCAGGGGGTTCAGTGGAGAAGGAGCCCAGGGGTGCAGCAGATCCTGAAGCAGGGGGCTGGTTGGGACTCTCGGTCAAAGAGAGCTCTTCCAGAGAGTCGGGGGAGTGGAGAGGGGAGATGGGAGAGATGGGAGCAGGGGAATCACCCTTCTGCCCAAGTGCTTGAGTAGAGAGGGAGGAGGGAGAATGCAATACAGCACATATCAAAGACATACTCCATTCCTTACAGTGCCCACCACACCTGGGTAGAACAGCTACCAACAACATTCAGAAAAAGTTCAGAGATTTAGACCAGACAACGGCTGTGAAAGGTGGCGGTGGCTGGTAGACCAGTTCAGTGTAACCCCAAAAACAACCAGCTAAAAGGATAATACTGAATACTAATA